TATCGAGCCAAACCATATTTATTATTTATTTATCCCCTTACTGTTACAACTGTGTTTTGCTGTTAATGACTTCTACAGCTTCGCGATTTAACCATGGAGACTTTTAGTAGATGGGTCCGATGACTCCGATAACGATATCCGATACTTCTCCGCCATCTTTGCGTATGCATCATATCGTTACCGGGTACCGTTATCGCGGGTATCGGAGGTGTCGGTAGGATCTACTAAATCTCTCGAATAGCATGGCAACGGCTGCAACGACGAAGCTTTGCTCTACATTCGAGGTAAATAGTACTTCCCTTGCTTCGCTGAAAAAGCTCAATGCAGAGCATGAAGCATTTGTGAGGAACAATATGGCACTCTCGTCCAGTGCCTCAGCTCAAATGGTGTTCAGCGTAGCAGTCGACATATTAAGTAAGAAATAACGCAAAATGTCTGACGAGACTTTCGAGAGCCAGTTGTTGTTTAAAATACTCAAGGTCATTAAATGGAACAGGTGGCAACAATAAGAACTTGAATAACCCTCTTCCCTTTGTTTCTTACTTGAGGACAATAATGTTAAAAGTAACGCACGAAAGTAGCGGATTACTTTTTGGGGTAACGGTCAGTTACTTTAATGGGAGGGTAATTGTAATTGTAATAAACTACAATTTAGCCTCGAGTAATTGTAAATGTAATTCCTTACTAATTTACTATTTTTCAGTAACGTGTACAAGTCTCGGTATGACCTTTCAAACCACCCATCTGCCTGTGCCACCGCACACAGCATTTTAAGCATATAAAATGGGAGCGCATAGTTGAAGGGATTTTGACCAAATCTTTAATGCATCTGTTAGTCACAGGGGGACTTAACCACCAATATTAAGATGCAAACATAAGCCCTGTCTTTCCTCCCTTTGGCCATCGCCTCTCGTGCCGCAACTAGTGTCATGATGTCGTGTAAACAAGAGAAGCCTTCACCTCACAGGAAAAGACCAAACCTGATCTCTTTCAATATCTGCCTTAAAAGCCCATTTGTTAAAAACAATGCTCCTATCCAGTGATTTGGATACCGTACCAGAATGCTTTCGATGAACAGCTGGTGGACCAAATTTTTCTGCACAGTGCACCTACCGCAATTCAGATCGGCATGTTCTACCGTTGGTGACTGCATAGAAAGGGGTGTGCAGTCAACCACAAAAATGACACCTTAAAATGGCTTGATTGCGTCAAACCCTCTGGTAATGGAACTACGTATATTTTATTTTAGTGACGGGGAAAGAAGTTATAACTACCAATACATCAAAGCGATACTACTGGTAGATACCTTGATGATCGTACAAACTGTCAATTTTCGAACACGCAAAGATCGCCCAAAACCGTTTTTTTTTTTTTAATTCCTGCTGATAGAGAACCAGAAGCTCGTTCGCGAGTGATAATAGGAAGATCTGGAGTTCATACAAATAGACGGCGGCAGTCTTCGAAGTACGAAAACTCCCACCAGTACATCACATCATGCCGATGAGAACGGTCTTCTCTTCGCAGCACCGGCCCCAGCTTGCCCCAATACAGCGCTGAACGAATCTCGCATTGTAGTCGTTACGATTTGTCGTCGCCACGAATGAAAGATATAAGGGAAAATATTCCTAAAAAGCGCGATCACCAGAAAAGTTACGGTTGTGGAAAGATACAGTTTTCTGAAGCCAAGATTCTACTCGCGAGACAAGGAAAACTCACTGAAGATTGTCTCGAAATTCAGAAAACGAAGGAAATTGAATGTTTGCTGTTTATTATTTATAAGCACCGCAATCTGATGCAAACACCAGAAGTGTCGACAATCAGCTGATCGCCGAGATCATGTACTGCTACTATTCAACGCGCAGATCGGATTGAAAGATATGCGTTGCAAGCAGAAATAAACAAGCTGGTACATAGCATTACGTTACAGTTATGCGAAAATCAGTAAGTACATACGAACAAGTTCGTTGACAGAATAACCAACGGGAAGACAGACGTGAACCCCAAAGCTCCGTACCCGTCTTGGTTAGGGCTAACACGCACTGAGAGTGGAGAGCCAACTTGGAAACAGGCGTAGATAAACACTTCACGCGACAATATTTTGCATCCTTGTCACAGACGAAGGTCATTTTGTAGAAACTCTCACGCTGTTGTAGCCTCAAACACTTTGTACAACCAATTTCGTCCACCGCGTCGACCGCCACAAACCAGCCGCCATGTTTTAAATCCAGGATCAAGAAACAACCAAAAGCAAAGCGCCCAATCTTGAGCGCTCACGATAAGCGTAGTTCAGTGCTAGGTTTAGCGATAAGCGATTTTGGTGCAACCGAACAAAACCGGAACTTAGCTTAGGTTCCCGGCTAAGCTCCGCTTTGCGCTAAGCGGCGTTGGTGCAACCAGCCCTTAGCGTCTTTTCTCACATATAGATCCGCTTCAGTTTGCCTTTAAGCTTCGTGGTATTCAGGTGATCAAGCAAGCACTAACATACTATAGTCAGACACCGGTTGAAGATTTTGCCAGAAAATCCTCCCATATCCCTCATACGGCCAGCCACTCTTCTTTCTCGATGCGCACATTGTCCGCTTCCAAGGTGCATGTTGCATTGATGTCACAGGGATCGGCATTGCTACTTCCTTTCATGGTTGGTACGCGGATTGATTAAATCTCATGGGTGGTACGCGCGCGCCTGAGTGTTTGTGTGTGTGTGTGTGTGTACGAATTAAAAAAGGCGTACTGTCCTGGCATGAGACGATGGTAGGGACGTGTTCACACAGAGACGTCCATCGGGCAAAGAAAGGCTGCGTGCATGAGTGTGTGCGTGTGTCGTACGCCATTTCAATTCGTCCACCGATAACCTACAGATCTTTGTTCACTTAGGCCACAAATTACCTAAAAAAATGTTGCCGAATCAAAACAAAACTCATTCGGAAGAAAGTTTCTTCTGCCTCGTCGTCGTGCAAGTGCCGCAGACACGGCGGCTCCGCACGAAACCGTGTCATCTGCTGTGCGCCTTTCAGCTGACAGCGTGGTGGAAGCTACGTGTCAACCGGACCAATTAATCGTCGTCCTTGCATCACGTAACAGCTCTTCCCCAGTGCCCATGCGGCGGGAGCGCCGGGACGTGGAGACCAAGTTGACATTGAATTGGCGTAGTGGGCCTGTGTTTCCCAGCACGCTTAGGAAACGACGCAGCCCACAGCAAAGCGTGGCAGACGACGGCCGGCACTCATTGTTGCCTACCTGGCGGTGACAAATGGCGGAGTGAAGTGGCTCAGGCCTCCCGCCGGTCAGAAACAATGGTGCTCCCAGTAAAAAGAATAGGCCCTCGCCGTCGGGCAACGTTACTAAAACACTCAGTTGGGAAACCGGCCGTCGAAACCTGGGCCGGTGGCGTCCACCGAGACCGAGCTAAATGCGACAACAGCGCCACTCTTTTTCGTTTGTCTGTACTATGGTCACCTCGAGCTTTTTGAAAGCCTGTTTTTTGCGTAAAAACAAACGGAAAAGACATATTTTGTATGAACTTTATTGGAGTTTAGTACCAAATGATGGGCGCGTGATGTTTTTATCATCTTTAGTTCGCAAGGTTTTGCGGAACAATTAATATTGTTTTTATAAAACCATGCCTCAGCGGGCCTTTCAGGTAGCGCGTTCCGACCTAGGTACATTTTAACTTCAGGTGTTCAACGCGGCGCGTCCGCCGGGGAGATGGGGGTTCACCCCTGTTAAAGCCAGAAATAGGAGTTACGTGCAGTTTCTCGAGTGGCCGCTACGGGAGAAATGGTGGCGTTGTGTTCGTCATTAGCTCGGTGCTCGGAGACAGATTGGGGCCATATTTTTAGGGCTGTCTCTATGGGAGTTTCCCAACTGAGTGCTTTAGTAACGTTGCCGTCGGGGCATGCGATAGCGTGATCGGAGACGACCTCCGGGCACGTTGCCGGCCGCCTGTTTCGTGCCCGCGGTGGTTCGAGGCAGTATTTGGTCGCCCCCGCTCTGCTCGTTACGCCAGCGGAGTGAGCGCCGTTGACACGGTCACGGTACGGGCAGCCATAGCGATGCCCAGACGCCCCTAATTGCTTCCTTGTCCCTTTGTGGGGACTCGATCGAAGTCGCCTAGGAGTGACCTGGCCCTGTGTCTTCACCGAGCACGAAGGTTCAATTTATGGGATGCTCATTTTTTCCTAGTGGCCTTCGCGTTGTAAGCGTCAGAAATACCATGCAAAAAAGGCAGTGTGTGAAGCAAATATGGTTTTAAGGTTCCTTTCGCAGCACAGTGTTTTCATAGGAATAGCTTTTAAGGCCTGTTATAAGCCAAAGCAAGAAAAGCACAACACTTTCAGCGCGCCTGACGAGCACAGTGGCCTGAAATCCCTCGGAACATACTTGGTTCAACCTTTCGCCATTGAGCAGTGTGTACTTGTGCACATGTGTGTGTGTGAAAAAGGGGGGGGGGGGGGAAGGGGAGTAGGCAAGGAGACAGATGGACCTTTCTTTTCAAAATGAGGAGATCTATTGGCATTGCAGATTCTTGCAGCATGCTGAGGTAAAAATGTACTAAAACACTCGCGCCTGCTCACTAACCTAAATTGAGGCATAAAGTAAACAAAATAGAACGGAGAGAAGCGTATATTACATAAACCCGGAGACGGCGAGACGAGGACAGGCCCGTAGGAGGCTGTTCTTCTCGCCCATGTCGCGAGCGTCTGTAGATCAGTTGACTTAAGCCGTGGGCACAGGGTGCAAATGCATCTTTCAAAAGACAGTCTGCGTCTGAGACGTGTTTCTTCTTTTTGAAACGGTGCTGCAGTCACGCACAAAATGCCCACAGACACGCTGGAATGTGCATGAAGCGAACGCATTTTGCACTTGCATGAGGCGTGATAATTCTGTCTCCGTGTCTTCGGCGAATTCGTGCTGTGTCTTCTGTTGTTAAGATTTACCAGTAGCGCGTCTGCGGCTTTAAGTTTTCTCATTCGTGGCTTGAACGTGCGCGGCAGACTTGACTCATGTTTTCAGCTTCAGTTCTAGCCGCTCGTTCTGTTTAGGAACTTCGCTTCGGGCGGCGGGCTCAGCCTTCATCCATTGGAAGAGCACGGCGTCCAAACCTTCGACTGGACATTCGATGCCGAGGTAAAATATTGTGGCAAGGGCGTAGGACATCATGATCATCCCCATGTTGTCTTGAGCCTGCAGAAAATGTTGAACGCGACTCAATCAATCATTGCCGTTTCGATAGACGCTGTTTACGAACGAGTCAGCGTTTGCCCACACCGGGTGTGGGCACTGCACATGCACACAAGAACCAGAATCGGGCAGAGCGAAGCGTCTGCGCGTTGCACCGTGCCGACAACAGCGCCTCCACCGCGGTGTGGCGTCAGACCGTGTGTTGGTGTCAAAGTTGCAAGATTACCCCAGTTGCGCCAGAGCCGTGTATAGAGAGAGTTCGGTCAATGGGAGGAGCGGGCAGAGCCAAGGTGTGCACCAGATGCAGATAGAGGGCTTGGCATGCTCTCTTGGCCAACTAGAAGCTGAAAAGAATTCCGTATCGGTAGTAGCGAGAAACAGTTTTAACGAAAGCGTAAGGGTGAAATGTAGTAACTCTTTATGATCGAAAATAGGGTTAAGGTTGAAGCCTGGGCTGGTTGGTGTGACATACTTAAAAGGTTAAAACAGCGCAAAAGACAACGGACAGGGTAAAGAAGGACACAGACAGAGCGCTGACTCGCAACAAAATTTTTATTGAACTCAACGGTGCAATATATACGCACAATTGAGAACAAAAAGAAGAAAACCAGCCTGAAAAACACCCAAAAGCAAAATCACAAAAAAGGAAGCATCACCTCAAAAAGATAAACCAAGCTAATCAAGTTGCCAGAAAATCAATCTCCTTCCTAGATAATGCAACAGAAGGCCTGCTGACACACCGTGACACCCAATCTGTCTATTTCTAGAGCCTCCAAAATTTCACGTGTCAGCTGGTCCCGGTGGCGTTTTAAGACCTCGCATTGTTGGAATTGAGGCTGGCGTCTGCAGTCACGGCAATGTATGCCGAGGTGACCGGAAACCATCGAAGAGACGCTGTAAGCATGTTCCCCCAGCCTGTCGTTGAGACAGCGACCTGTCTGGCCAACATAATGCCTGCCGCAAGACAGAAGGAGGGAATACACAACTTTCTCAGCGCAGGTGACGTAACGATTCCGGTGCTTCGTAGTGCAGGCCCTCACCTCCCTATCAGAGGGATTAACGGCTCGGCACAATCTAGAAAGCTTGTCGGGAGCGGTGAACAAAACATCCACTTCACATCTGCCTGCAATACGTTTGAGGTTGTGGGCCACGCCATGCATATACAGAATAACGGCGAATTTTTTCTTTCTTTCTCGTCCTTTCCTACTGCTGGCAGGGATATCGCTCGTCTCAGGCCAAGTTTTGGTTTCTTCGAGCAGTGACTCAGCAACAGCTGCCAACACGTGTGAGGGGAACCCAGCAAAAGTGAGGTGTTCTGTTTGCTTATCGAAGCTAGGTTGAACTTTGTGAAAGCAAGACCTTCGCAAAGCATGTGTGTAGCAGGTCTTCGCGATTGCACGTTTTACAATTTTTGAATGCGTGGACTCAAAGGGACAGAAGAGGCTTGCCGGTCCGATTTTCATAAGCCCAGCATACATGGTCCGGGCACATTTTTAAAGTTAAATCTAAAAATCTTGTACATCCGGTTTCAGGTACTTCGTGAGTTAAAACAAGTGGCGAAAGACAGTTAGAAAAGCTGCCTAAATTATGAGTCATTGATGAATGAAAGGACAAGAGTCAGTTTCCAACAGGACTAAAAAAATCGTCTACATAGCGGAAAACCCTTGCAACCTTGGTACCCTCAAGGTGTTCTAGAATGATGCGATCAGTGCTTGCTAAGAACAAGTCGCTAAGAACAGGGGCGTTGCAAGATCCAATGCAAAATCCATGACGTTGCAGGTAGACAGTACCCTCCCAAGTCGAAAAGGTCGACCTCAGGTATTTGTCAAGGAGCTCTAAAAAAATCCTCAACTGATATTCCAGCCGTATTTTGGTAAGCAACAGCACCAAGCCTGTCAATACAATCACGAATGCAGACAAGAAGCTCATCGTGAGGCAAAGAGTAATAAAGATCCTTAATGTCAAACGAGCAGGCCAAATAATCAGTGTGTGCGTTTTCCTTAAGAAACGAAATGATTTCGTCCGAGCTATTCACAAGGAAAGGATCGTCAGTCTTTGACAAATTCAATCCTTTCTGTAGGAACAATGCGACAGCCTTTTGCCAGGTGCCGGCCTCCGAGACAATGACGCGCAAAGGGCAGTCTACCTTATGCGTCTTAGCAGTAAAGAATAATTCTAAACTTAGCTGCTTTCCTCCGTCGATTTTTTTGACAAGCTGATCCAGGTTTAGCCTTCTACACAGTTGTTTGGCCTCAAATTTAACCTTTTGTTGGGAGATGTCGGTATTCGACTGGAGCACAGACGATATAGCTTCCCGTGGCTTGACTTTATAGAGGTCAACTGAGAGGACCAAGGAGCCCCCTTCTTTATCCGATCCTAACAGAGTCAACGAGTTATCTTTAAGAAAAGTCACCACTTGCTTGACAGGAACCTTGGCAGCACCAGGACTGCGCCTCCGGTCACCTCGGCATACATTGCCGTGACTGCAGATGCCAGCCTCAGTTCCAACACTGCGAGGTTTTAAAACGACACCAGGACCAGCTGACACGTGAAATTTTGGAGGCGCTAGAAATAGACAGATTGGGAGTCATGTGTGTCAGCAGGCCTTCTGTTGCATTATCTAGGATGGAGATTGATTTTCTGGCCACTTGATTAGCTTTTTTTTATCTTTTTGAGGTGATGCTTCCTTTTTTGTGCTTTTGCTTTTGGGTGTTTTTCAGGCTGATTTTCTTCTTTTTGTTCTCAATTGTGCGTATATATTGCACCGTTGAGTTCAACAAAAACTTAATTGCGAGTCAGCGCTCTGCCTGTGTCCTTCTTTTCCATGTCCGTTGCCTTTTGCGCTGTTTTAACCTTTTAAGAAAATTTGGTGCACGTGATGTTTCGATTATGATCGTGCAAAAATATGTCAGAAACGAACGTGCCGCTCGTACGCTGTTTTGCTCGGACAGAGTGCGACCACTCGGACGGCATTTTTCCGGCCTATGGCGCATGGTGTACGGATTATGTCGATCGTTTCGCTAGTCGCGCTCATCCACCATGATTTTGAAAGACCGTGATTGAAGCATCACGTGCATTATATTTTCAGTCACCGAAAGTTACTCCGAAGCACTTATTAATTTCGTTTCTCGCGACCACCGCCAGGGTCTTATTTCCGACTTCGGGTTGGCCACTTTCGAATTTGTGAAGACGCCCTGGAACAGATTCAGCTCGTTTTCGGACAATGGCGCCTCCTCATTTGTCTCCTGTACTTCCCAGCGAATGGCCAAACTGTCTCTACATACGGCTCTGAGCTGTGGAACTCCGGCGGAAGGGGGCACCCCGCTCACTCACTTCAGTCCGCCTCGCGTCGTTTACGCCATCTTGATTTTCGTTACGCAATTGTGTTCCATGGAGCAAAGCTGGAACGCCATCTAGACGCTGTGCTTCGAAACGTACGCATTCCATAGAATATACTGCAGTCAACATAGCAGTCGACCGGCGCGTCAAACGACGGGAGGTGAGTCGTGGTGAGTGAAGGGGGGGAGGGGGGGGGGGAGTACTGCTGGTGCAAGCAGTGTTTATGAGCATTTCCGTAGCTATGCTAATCTAATAAAGTTGGCTGGTGTATACTCTGGAGTGTCTAGTTTCTGAGATTGCTTCTTTTAAGACTTTTACTCGGGGACAGCTTTTTCTGGCATTTCGGAAGTGAAGACCGCGCGCGAGCGCAGCTGTGTTCGGCGGTTAATGTGAGTGAGCGCCCGGGTGGCCATAGCTTCGGCTTCATTGCCAAGAATAGTTCTTTCCAAGTGTAGTTATCGTTGAGTGTTTTTTGTTTTGTAATTGTGCGGCGCTTTTGGCAAAGAACCTATCGTCAAAATATTCCGAGTTTTTCTTTTTGTATGTCAGCAGCCGGGCTGCGAGCAATGTAGATGCCATGTACACAAGTGACGGGTTAAAAAGCCGTGCTGCGGAAGACTTTATTAAAGGAGACATGAAGCGATTTTTCTACTTTGGCCAAATAATACTTAGAATAGCTCCCTAACGTTAATAACTGAATAAACTTGCCTTAGCTTTTCTTTCTAGGAAATGGCAGTCGCAAACAAATTCGAGAAATATGGGCATCGTTCATCCCCTCAACTCGGAGCCAGAACAAGCGGCCACGTGGCCTGGTGTCTTTCCGATGCCGCCAACGTTAATCATACCCACACGCTGGGGTTGGCAAAGTAAAAAACGCGTGCTGAGCACCAGGCATCGTTAGAGTTCGGTTGTTCTCATCATCACAGTGGTCGGCCACGAGCAGACTTGTACACGTTACTGAAAAAAAGTAACTGATTACAATTACAATTACTACAGTCAAAAAAGTAACCGATTACCGTTACTGATTACTGCCTCCCAGAAGTAATTGAACAATTACTGCAAAGTAATTGATTACTTTTCAAGTTACTTTCACGTTACTTCTTATTGCGATGACAGAAATACACAAATACACAGTAAAATATTGCCTACACAATTTTGTTTGGTTATTGTTCCCTTTTTTGTTTTCAGACCCGGACCTTGTCGTGTAGCTGACGCGTCGACCTAAGGAACAAAGCCACTAAAAAGTCAATAGCGAGTTCCCGCTTCCCGTCGACTTTATCAGCAATCTGCAACGAGATCCGGAACTCGCCAGCCAAGGCTGGTGGCGCGCTTGTAGAAGAGCGTGGCGCAAAAGAAAAAAGGATTTGCCGACTAATCCTAGTTTTATTTTTTTTTAGATGTTAAAAAAATGTCAATCATTTTTGCTCCATGGCTGAGTGACTATGTTGATTTTTGTGAGAAAAAAAAATTGTGGAATGAAAAATGTAATTGGTAATTGTGTAATTGATTTTGTAATTGATTACAGAAAAAAAGTAATTGAATTACTCCGAGCGTTACAGCTTGACAAATGTAATTGAAGCGTTACAAAATTACACTTAACTGTAATTGATTACAAGTAATCAATTACTTGTAACGCGTTACGTACAAGTCTGGCCACGAGCCACTACCCGAGTGTCCACCGAGGCATTGAGTGTTACGAGCCAAAGTCGAGTCTCGTGTCCAATTCACGAGACGCTCTCGAATGTCGTCAGACAGGTGGTTTTGATCTAACAGTTACGTTCTCAAGCTTTGTGAAAGCAAAACTGGAAGAAACAGTCCGCTTTTATCCTCGTAATTTCCCCGCGACAAAGAAGCTTCTGAATTAGTGCCGGTCCGCGTGCGAGTATATAGGTCAGAATATAGAACAGCGTGCCTGTGTAAAGTCGCCAGCATTCCAATCACATATTGTTTCATGACCCCTTTAAAGTCGCGAGGGCATGGCCACACTAATATGGACTCTTAGGTAAGCGTGCGGAGGAAACTGCGTTGCAATAGTCACTGACAAGAGGGGAACGGCAGGGCCTTTTTTTCAAAGGCCCGGCCGCCTACTGGAAAATAATTGGGGTTCTTTGGATATTTAGACAGCGTGGTCTGTCAGCCATTTCAAAGTCGCGCTCGGCGACTTTCGTCGTGCTTTGACTACGCGTGCACGGTCAATTAATACCCTTGTTACACGGGCACACTTAACTGCAGTTACGCTAAGTCACAGTTAGCGCACAATACTTGCGGACATTCTGCGGCTATGCAGTCAAAGCTATGGGCGAACGTGCGCTTGAGCATCTTGAGCATCTATCGAAGCAGTGCGCGCGCGCTCTTCACTTTTTCTGCAATAGCTGTCAGAGAGTATAGTGCGGTATCTGTGGTGCCGTGCAACAGCAGTTAAGCTGAGTTAACCGCGGTTAAGTGTGCCCGTGTAACAGGGGTATAAGACTCAAAAGATGCCTCGTTATCGAAGGTGGGAAGCTTACACCGGAGGCGGGACAACTAGAACTCCTCCCGGCCGTTCTCATTCTGTCAGTACCCCTCAGGGGTACTGACAGAATGACTTCACAACGAATACTCTTAAACTAAAATTCTCTATAAAGCCCCGCTCACATTGATAATACATTATACCATAGACTCCTATATACTGACAAAGCCTGGCAGATCGCCACGAGAAGCGGCAGCCGAACTGGAAAAGGTGGAGCGGCAGACAACGGATGAGAGGAGAGCCACGTGACTGGCGCCCCGCTGCGGCGGTACGCCGAAACACACTTCTCCCGAGCAAACAAGTGTGTTTCGGGTACTCGCCGCTGCAAAAGCTGTACGCTGACGTCCAGCTTCCCCGAGAAATGACTCTTTGATGCTCTGTGCTACCAGATCGTCGCGCTCCAAATCTGTGACCGGGCCACGGTGTAAAAAGGCTCTTTAGGTGTAGAAACTCCGCTCTCCGCCGCGACCAGATAATGAAAACCCCGCGCGCTTCGCCTCACGGAGCCACCCCCAGATGGCGCTGTAAGTTTGAGGCCATCCGGCAGCGCATTATGCGGCCTGTGCAAGCTGCCCGCTCGGCGTGCCGCTTGCTTTTAGAAGGCTACCGTTTCGCGTACGATGCGGTATGTAGGTGAGGCGATTCAACTATCATCTCAGTCAGCGAACAGTTTTCATAACCAGAACAATGGCAGACGAAAAAACAAGGGTAACTCCCTAATACAAGCCGACGCGGCGGTCTCCGAGTCAAAAAAAAAATATCCCGCTCCTGTAGATAACTTCTAGCCTAGCTTACATTCCGCATTCCGTCGTTTCAGCTTTTTCCAGTAGCACAATACTAACGTCGATAGGTGTTTGTAAAATCAATTAACTCTGATTGCATCGCAGGCAGATACGTAGCCGGGAGGAGGGGGCGGTGGAAGCAAGGGTCCTCGCCCCCCCCCCCCCCCCCCAAATCTTCCATTTTGCTGGCACTTCCTTCCCCTCCTCCGCCTCATGCAGCATTCTGCTATTCCCCCTCCCCCTCCCCCCCCTGCCCCCGAATCAAAATCCTGGCTACGGGCCTGAACGCAGGTAAACAATACCTTATATGCGACCAAAAGAAAAAAAAAATGCACAAAAATAAAGAATGGTTAACACAAACCTTGTTAACTGATGATACGGAACTGAAATGTTTTTACCGTTCACATTACTTTGCAAAAAAAAATATCTTGGGTTCGCAAATTCCCGTTGATTCGGCTTGACTATTACAATTTTTTTTTCAACATGTGGGACAGCTAATGTGATTATTCTTTTATATTTCATAGCAGTCTCTGGGTCCTAATAAATTCAACTGCTGACCCAATTGACACAAAGTTACACATTTTGCACGCAGAGGTTAATAAAAGCAGCATTCCTTCAAAGGTTTACTTGTTGGTACACTTGCATTTGCACGTCGCAGATTGCAGCAAAAGTTTATAGTAACCGCACTCGTCAGGGAAAAAAAAACAGGTTTTATTAATGACACTTCTGATATGAGTAATAACAATATCATCTCAAAATTACTTCAACAGAAAATTAAAAATAAAACGCTGTAAAAAATACTGTTAAAACATTCTTTAATGCATGACACACCCTATGGCTGCTTTTGGAGTTCTTTTTCCCATTACGAGGTGCACAGTCGAAACTCTTTCTTCTTTACTTGTGACTGCTTCTTTGCATCTCAGATTTTTTCCCTTGCAGTACTGTCGCATTTTCATGAGCTCGTAGTACTGAAGTATCCAGGCCATGGCGCCAGTCTTGTGCTCGTCGCAGGGAAATGACACCTCGCCACTTTATATGACGTGGTCGATCGTGTTCCAAAAGACATTATGCTCATCGCAGTGCTCCGAGAAGTACCGCTCAGCTACCCTCAATATCTTAAAAAGCTTAGAGTTCGGGTGGATGAGGCCACCTTGTTTCTTTGAGTTGGTCAAAGCCGCCTCAGGTGCCTGATTTCTTCTTACAGATAGAGAGTTCCTGCAGAGAGTGCAGCGAATGTACTTCCTATCCGTGGTCCCCCTCTTTTTCTCTTGCTTTTCCCAAAACCGCTACCCTCTTCCTTTTCCCAGGTCCCCGCACATTCCAGTCAACGGTAACCTCAGACGGCGCCAACACAAAGCTACACTCTAAAAAAAAAGGGTATCACCTTACACCCTTTTGTCCCATATAATACACCCCAAAACTTCATTTCGACGTACAGCGCCCTATAGTCGAACAGACGGCACCAAATTTTACCAGGGGCTTGATAACGGTGCGATATAACTTATTAAATTGTTAAAGTACGTATCAAAGACCAAAGAAAGAAAACACGGAGCTTTTGCAGTACGGCGAAGAAAACTCAGATAATCTTTTTTGTAGTCAATAATACGTACATCAGCTATCTTAATAAGTTGTACCACACGGCTATTAAGCTCCTCGTAAACTTTGGGGCCGCCTGTTCGATTATGGGGCGCTGTACGCCGAATTAAAGTTTTGGGGTGTACTATATGGGACAAGGGGTGTAATATTACACCTTTTTTTCTGAGAGTGTACCGACAGATCCTCTGTCAACGCGGTTCTCCCAAACCAATCAGCCGCAAATATTTTTCGGCCTTCGGACGTGTGAGTCATGCATTCGGCAGACGTCTTGATCCTGATCGTCTCTTTCACTAATATTAGCAATTTTTTTTTTCTAAAATTTTTATGGTTCCCCAGGTTGAAGAGCAGTTGGCGCATTCATTTAAATGTTTGGCTATTTTCGAGTTCGGATCCTTTTTACACTTCTTTTATCTATCACTCACCATTGCAAAAAAAAAAAAAAAACACAGGCGGCGTAAGCAATGGGTTGCCCCGCGTTCTGGCGAAGGGCCGGCGGCCGGAAGGCCTGAAAGTTTTGGCGCCCTCTAGGGGCAGTCGGAGAAAACATAGGAAAGGAGGGGGAGCGATGTGTTCGCCGTTCCGATCGGGGCGAGGAGAGGAGTCTCTACACCTAAAGAGCCTTCCTACACCGTGGACCGGGCACTCTACGGCTCCGTCATCGAACTGCCAGGTTTTGTGAGCATAGAGGAGGCTCTGATTATACAGAAGACGAACTGCAGACACTGTCTGAGGATATCCCTCGTATGACGGTCGTATTAGTCATACAAACACTGTCTGCAGACACTTTCAAATGTATGAAACGTTTCGAAGATGCTTGAGGCATTTTCCGAGATAATGTCTGTAGTGAGTGTAGTATTTTAAATTCTTCTACTTCCTGGTCTAAGCCAAGTAGATGGCGCAACTGTGCTCCCGAAATATATAAAAAAAGAAAAAAACAACAACAGGAAGAGCACGGGGGTCGTTCGAGAGAGATTCTGCCTGAGAGATCGTGTGTCTTGTGTCTGATTCTCTCGTCCGGGATGAGTTCGCTGGACTCGACCGGCTACCGCCGACAGAACTTCAAACGAGGTGGGCTGGCTTGGAGCAACCTGCCCTAGGCTGTGTTAAGTGAGCATCATGTGTTTTGTACGAGTTATGAGCTGTGTCTCTGCGGATTTATGATCAATTTACAATGCCGATACTTCTTGCATCGCTGTAATCTGTCCGTTCCTTTTTTTGTATGGATTCTTTAATTTTAGCAGCTGAGCCAACTCCGGTCGTCGCTTAATAACTCACCTGCAGGAAAGGCTGGTACGTCTTGCGTTCCCTGCTTAGAACAATGTTGACGACAATCACCATGGGGTTTAGGAGGTACACGCCGAACGAGAGCCGACCCAGCGGGTACCAGAGCGGACAAGCCAGCAGCTTGTGGATCAGCCCGCCGCAGCCTGACGCGCAGGCGTACATCGTCCAGGACACGGCGAAGGCCCAGGCGAACCTGTGCAGTCCGGCGAAGAAGGCGGACTCGAGCGCCTCTGGCGCCCGTCCACGGCTCCAGCTGTACACGCCGAAGACCGACGCGAGTGCCGCTATCGCCGCCAGCGTCCACGTGAACGCTCGCGACCATCGGCCCAGCTTGCGGGGCTGGGCCGCCAGGCAGCCGAAGAGGACGCCCGTGAACAGCTCCGGGGCGTGGGTGAAGGGCATCTGGTGGACGTAAACGGACGTCTCCTCCACACTCCTGCGGTGGGCGAAAATGGCAATAAAGAAAGAAATTACTTTTCTACGGCCAATTCACCCTAAGAGGAACAAGAGGGAAAAAAGCGCGTTTCCTTCCCCTATACTCACGTTCCCCCAAGCGGACACGACAAGCACGTACCCAGGAGAGGGGGCGTCGGGGGGGGGGGGGGGGGGGGAGGGGCATGGGGCCCGGGCTTTCCGAAGCGAAATCTTCCATTTTGCTGGGTCCTCCTCTGCCTCCTCCCCGTCATACAGCATTTTGTCATGGGCGGTCTCCTCTTCCCCCCCCCCCCCCCCCTAATCAAAATCCTGGCTACGTGCCTGGGATACGAAGAGGGAGGAACGAGAGGTTTTTCTCTTTCTCCAGGCAGACAAGAGAAAGGTTCCGCCCTTCAGCCTCATCTTCTATCAGTTTCGTTTTTCGAGCATGTCGATACAGTAAGCTGTGCCGGGTGACCGCGGCGCTAGGTTCTGACCCTGGATACGAATGCATCGGGGGCGGCAGCCGTCTACCTCGACTGGGCCACCCCTCTGGAGCCCCTGCCTTCACCGAAGGAGCGACCGTCAGGCGCCAGGAATTCGCTATTAAGAATGTACATCGGACGGCCCGCCGAGGGTCGCCTTGGCTCTTTGGCCTGCTCGCCTGGGCCGTCACCGGGCCTCCAGGACTCGCGCGGCGGTTCGGAGGAACGGGTCGTCCTCATCATGCATGGCGTCTTCGTCAGCGCCGGGCCGCCAGGGCTTTCCCAGCCCCAACGCACGGGCCTGCGGACGGCACCCTGGAAAGCCTGCCAGGACACTTCTGCCAGCTGGACGGGGGACCGGCCTGGCGAGCAGCCTACTGGGAAGCACTGGGCCCACATCGCCCGCAACATCGGCCCGCGCCCCCACCCGCGGGCTTTATTGCGCATCGTCTGCACCTCTCTGTCATCTATACGTCGTCGTCCTCCCGTTGTAGATATCATCTCATAATCATCATCACTAGACGTGGCACCGCGGGCCTCCATGGTACGGGCTGTCGCCTTTCCGCGGTGCCACGGCTCTCCTGAGCCAATAAAGATGTTCATTATCACCATTATCATCATCAAATGTTGAGTTGATTGAGCTTCAGCGGCAGCGAAGGCCGCATGTAATTCCGTCCCCCAGTCGAAACGTAGAGGACATTTTGGTTCCCCTGATGTTTTTATCACTAATTTTACGAAACGAGCGAACGAAGCCGTAAGGAACACCGAAGTTCCGGAGCAGTGCCAGCAGCGCTACGTACACTGGGCTAAAATGGCTGCCTCCTGACTGCGGACCGAGGTGTTGATGTTGACGACGTTTTGAAAACAACGGGAACTGCGTCCAAGGCAGGCAGGGTTTTTTTGCCCAGTGCCTGCGCCTTCTGTGCTGGATTCGGTTCTGTCTTTCGATGACGAGTGCCAACCGGCAATCAATGTGGTTTTGTATTTCTGCGTTTCACCAACGTAGCGGCAACATCGCCATGGCAGTGTTGTGCATTGTGACCAGAAGACTGGAATTATTGCCGATGTGATCGTGTGTTCGCGTATCAGTGGTGTAACAACACGATGAGCTGTCTGGCATTGATGCCGCTGGTCGGGCCGTGATCGGAGGGGCAGGTTGTCGCAGGTTCACATTCTGCTTTACATTAAAAAGTTTAAGAGCGCTCGAGGGATTGCGCTGCAATGAATCGACCTGCGGATAGTCACGTTGGAAGGCTGGTCTGGCCAGTTTGGCTGTCGTCTGCGATGTCCTGTTGTCTCCTCCCCGAGAGCGGTTGTGCCCTGGGGACTGAACAGTATGCAAGTTATGGCGGAAAGTACGTATATTTACAGTTTGAATTTTTAGCATCAAGGAAGGATAATAGGTAAAGTCGACAAAAAAAAACTATCCTTTATTTTTCTGTTTAAATATACTACGGCTCCCGGAGAAACTGCCCTCCAGGTGGCGCGCTGGGATAAGCGCTGGAAGTTTTCGAGCTCACCACGGCTACGGCATGCTGTGCGGGGAAGCAAACACATGGCTTGGAACCGCAGTGGAGCAGCTTGTTCTATTGGCTTTCAAATAATTATGGCATGATCGTTTACTTTTTAGTAAGATAGTCATACGCTGAGCCGTTCAAAATACTCTATGAGGCATGACATTACTGAAGAGAAAAATTAACATTCTGGGAATAATATTTATTGCTTAGGTGGTTACCAAAAAAATCTGTACCGTTTTTTTATTTCCTCTTTTCTCAGGGTTTTAAAGTATGAGTTTTAAAGGCGGAAACGCAGAGCTGGGAAGTAGAAACCTGGTTAGTGTGCTCTTGTATCGATGTTTGTATGTGTCGTGTATGCGTATACGCTCAATGTATATGTTCAGCTGATGTTTGTAGTATGCATAATGTATCTACATGCACCATGCACTATTGCACTTCGGGCCCGAAGGGCCCGAAGTGCATTTGTGCGATGGTGGCGTGCGCAAATCAAAATATGTGCTGTAGCGCATGAATTGGGCGGTACCTAGCGCCACCTAGCCTAGCTACTTGCACTTACTCTGCTTGACCCTGCCATCCGGTGGCAAGCGATTTAACTTTCTTTGAAGCTTCGCGATAATTTCTTATTACTGTGCAACAATGAGCCAAGTAGGCTACTTCGAATTTGCTCTTTTGAGAGCGGCTTTTGGTTTTGCAAATGGCTTGCGACTTCTCCATGATCTGCTGTTGACGAAGAAATTGTGGCTCGAGGAATAGCAAAGATAAGACGTAAATTGCGCGAACTAACTGGGTATCGGTTGTCTCCGTTCAACAACGCAGTGCTGACGACAAGAAAACTGAATGACTGCATTGGAAACGCGAGTGTCTTTACCTGGGGGGGAAGAGGGAGGGGTGGAACGATTCGGAAAGAAATACAGTTCGCGGAAAGCTCGTGTTAAGCTTTTATTTGCTGCTCCTCTCGCCCTCTACACAAAGACGCAGCGTCCTCGCGCCTTGTTGAGCTCGACTTGGTCGATTTGGGGCCGCCTTAGTGAGATGCAGACGACGACGCTGCGAAAGCCCGTCCTATCTCCAGTTTCTTATTTATTTATTTATTTATTTATGCACATACCTACATCGGCCAGGGGGCATTATTGTAGGGGGATTACATGAAAGAAAATACATGACAAACAAGTAAAATAACAAGAAGGCCTAAAATAACCATTCTGATGTTAGCCTGAGACTGAGGCAGGAAAAGAGGAAGTTTCAAAGTAGAAGAAAAAGGAACAGTCGAGGATACGTAGAGACGTATCCTCGACTGTTCCTTTTTCTTCTACTTTGAAACTTCCTCGAGGTCTAAGCATATTTTTAGCCTAGCCATTTGCCGAGCTCTGCCATAAATGAGAGCAATAAACCATGTTGAAATAACCTGAGACTGGAGTAGAGAAGAAGCATCAAATCGTAGAAGGGACAGAAAATAGACAGGACGACGTCTCAAACTCAGCTAACTTCATTTATTTTGTCCACCTCCTTATATAGTCCCAAACTCGAGGTCATCTCCACCAACACAGTTTTGGGACTATATAAGGAGGTGGACCAAATAAATGAAGTTAGCTGAGTTTGAGACGTCGTCCTGTCTATTTTCTGTCCCTTCTACGATTTGATGCTTCTTCTCTACCCCAGTCTCAGGTTATTTCAACATGGTTAATATTCACCAGCTCGCCTGCACCCTTACTATTTTTTCTGAGAGCAATTAGCTTTTAAAAGTACCTTGCTAGAAAGTAAACGCTTCAGCCTTTTTAGAGGGAGAAGTCAAAGACAAATTTGGGGGTTTTACGTGCCAAACCAACGACGAGCATGTGGCACGCCCCAGCGAAAGACTGAGGATTAATTTCGACCACCTGGAGATATTTTGACGCGCAACCGAAAGCTCGGTAACACGGCGCCTTCTCCGCAATAAGCCTCCGTCAGATGCGGGCTCCTCGGCCGGGATTCGAACCCGTCACCTGGGGATCCGTAGGCCGGCGCTTTGCCACAGAGTCACCGAGGAGGCTTTTTAGAGGGAGGTGGTCATATTTGGTACACTTTATACTGATACTTTAAAAATAAGCTATATAGCTAATAATTTTCATAATGAAAAGATCAAGAAAAAACTAGAGACTGAGGATCACGGTATAGAAAAGGAAAAAAATACGCGCAGCGTCTCCAACTGTGTTATTTCTAAGAAAGTGTAACGGAATACAATTCTGCTAAGCTTAGGGAGACGTAAACCCCGCCCACTTCTTCGGAATCTCGGTCATTTTGTCTTTAGAGAGAAATATAGGATACCGCAGGACGATTTCATTGGAAAAACCAGAAACCCAATCATCAAATGATCAATGTCATTCTGCTGAGCGACGTTCTACCGTTCTTAAAGCGTCAGCGTCTATAAGGCAAGAAAGTGAGGGAGACGAGGAGACGCGTGCGCACGAGGACATCAGAACACCGAGCTCTCGTTAGAATGATGAGTGGGCAGACGCGAAGATAGATGCCTTTTTGTCAAATCACTCTTCGAACGCGTTCTAACGTTCAACACCAAGATTCGGCGTTCGCTGTCAAAGAGTGAGTGGGGACAAAGTCAGCTAGCTTTGCCCATCTGCCCACTCATCATTCCAACCAACGCGCTCCCATCTCCTCTTCTTGAGTTGCTACCCGTATAAGTTCACTAAATTTCACGTACCTGATATTTGTGGTCAGGATCATAATAAACGGCAGGTAGCTGTGAATGTAAGTGACTGCACCCGTGGTGATGCACGTCGCTATAATGATGGCAACCACGATGGCTAAAGAAGCTTTCGGCCACCTGAAAATTCAGAAGGGTATAACGGGGGCAGGCATTTGCCATAACGATTTTATGCATCGTTTAGAGTTCTCAAGTTATGACAAGAACTCGCGTTCAGTCTTGCATAAATGCCTGCAAAAAAACTGCCCCACAATGCAGTAGGAACAAGATTATTATATTCTTTTATTCTGCTCAGTCAGTGATTTGGGCGTCTGGATTCGGTGATCGATATAGTCCCTGACAACTTAAGAAGGCTGCGAAGAGTTTCGATTACATTATTTTCACATTGCAGCTAATCTAATTAGGCGATACCAAGGAAAGAATCACGAGACAAGTCCCGGTGAACGTAAAAATTAAGCCCTGCATTTTGAAAGAGGCGGTACAACGATATTCCAGTTGGAATGTCTTTCGCTTTACACGAGCTTACTGGCACTATACTCCGTTTCACCTTATGTTGACCCGCAGAGAAGGCTAGAAACGCGAGCTCATAGTGTTGGGAGCTTCCCTTGGTGCACGAGAGCTTGTGCCGCCGAGATACGCCCTAGAGCAAAGAGCTCGCACTTGTAGCCTTTCCTGCGGTACATCATCAGGTGAAAAGGAGTATAGTCGGACCCAAGTATACTCTAAACTAGCACGCGACGAGACTGACCGAGGAACTTCTTTGTTTCGGTAATATTTCAAGGATAAAAGCGAGCCCTTTCTTTCAACCTCTTCTTCCCAAAGTCGATCACCTTTTTGCTCTTTCTCGCGTGAGTTTAAACCTGGTGACGCCAGTCTGTAAATAGTCCCCAACCACTTTTGGTTCCAAACTAGACCGTGGGATTCGCAGTATTTGCGAAATCAAATATTCACGCTATTTTTCTAAATTGCCGTTTATAGCACTGTCATACTTAATTCACTCTTATTATAAAAGTATGAGGAGTAAAACATTCCGAAATATACGTTAACCGGAAGTGTTCCAGGTCTACACAGTAGATGGCGCCATTGAAGTTGTTGCCAAACAAAAAAAGGCGGTTACGTAGCTCAGAGGTCACAGTGGTGACACATTAAGCCCTTGATGCGTTGGCGTTTGTCTTGCAAGTAGTCAAATGCGCCAGTGCATAAGGCCCGTGCCTCGTGCAGCCCCTGTAAAGGTTTATCCACACGACGGACCAAATTGCTGTTTTGGTCCGCGGGCCGCGCATCACGTGATCTTACGTCACCGGTTTGCGAGGTCCGCCGGCGGTCCGCGGCCCGCGCTTGTGAGAAATGCCAAGCGACTTTTCTCGCCCGGACCTTGGCGGCGGACCGCGGCGTTTTTAGAACAATTGAAGTGCTAAGTCTGGCAACAAGCTGACTTTTGTTGTTTCGATTGAAATCCAAATCCAAAGTCGTGTTCTTTTGGCGCCAACTGTTGAAGACGAAGAAGACGAATTTTTTTGTTGTACGACGATGGCGGCATGGTGCGACGATGCAACTTTTTACTTCGTCGCGCTCGTGGAGCAATTCCCCGCTCTGTGGGACAATAGTTGCATGCCCTTTTCGGTTCACTTAAGTCCTCCTCGTCCTCAATAGTCAACGCCAGGGCCACCGCGGCCAAACATCTCTTTCGTTCAATCTCCATCTTGGCTCCTTACAAATAGCCTCAAAGCAGCTCGCTGCATGCGTTTGGCAGAGCTGTGAGGTCGAGGGTTAGACCGGCCCGTTCACTCTGTCGTCTGCTCTTTTGGTCCGCCGTGTGGATGCTCATTGCAGCCGGGCGGCCCGCGGGCCTCGCATCACGTGATCAATCGGTCCGCGGCCCGGTCCGTCGTGTGGATACACCTTAAGCGAACGGCGGCGCAACACTGAAATGAGCGGCCCATGGAAGCGAATGGCAGTGGAGCACCCGGCTCGTGGCACGTGCCTTGCGCGTTTCCAGAACAACGGTTGGCGTTACTTGTAAGAAACGCCTTCATCAAGGAGCTTTAGTGGCACAGTGCTTCGAGTGACCATATTTGAATGAGGATCGTAGATAGGAGCGGAACATCTCGTGAACATCTCCATTCTGGCTCCTGATAGTCAATAGGGAGTTTTCGTAAGCCGCGTTTTCTCCTCCGCTAAGCCCTCCGCAGCGAAGAAGCCGCTAATGCGCTTGGGCGCCGATGGCTTTGGCTGTATATAGTTCCGAATATCGTAGTGGGTTGCGGAGAGCGTTGCGGGACGGCGAAAACGATCTACGAAAACTCCTTAATAGCTCGACAAGCGTTCGGGTAGTGGCTCGTGGCCAGTCTTAATGTGTGGAAGTCAGCGCGCGTCCTGTGCTTCACCAACCCCAGAGCGTGGTTAGGATCACCGTTGGCGAAATACACTCGGCTCTAGATCACGTGTCAGCTTGGTCTGGCTGCTTGTTGATGAGAAAAACGCTGGTCGATTTTTTTTTTATTCTTTTCTGTGACTACCGTTGCCTGGGGGAGAAAAAGTAACGCGTGTTTTATAGATTATAAACTTCAGGGATTCAATTTAGCCGTTGGAACCGCAAGCCGCCGTGGTATGGACATCACTGCCTTTGCGACCCTGTGCGCCTGGATCACACCGTGGCCTGGATCAACCCCTCCAAAATACGAATAAAGTATTAATATTGGCGCAAAGTACAAACATCGTTGCACCGCCCTTGACTCTAGTGGGGATAAGAGCTAAACTGACGCGTGATCGTTGGAAACGCATACCCTTCGACCCTCTCACTGAAAAAGCTGACTGAAGAAGATAAACAACAGAACGTGAACATTGCAGAGGACTGATCTCGATCTCTTGGATAATCCACGGGGAAGTGCCGTAATATCGCGTTGAGGTTTCTTGCGTCGTGATTGGTCCTTGGGCGTTAATATCGAATAATCCCGCAATCTGCTTGACTGCGGAGCGACAATGATCGGAACTGGCCGCTCCCTGCTCACACCCTCGGTGACTTCAGGTAGCTTTAGCGTGCGTTCGAGGCTTCTGCTTTCCCTTCATCATTCGCTGGACGCGCTTCTACACCGCAGTGAGTTGCCCACCGCTTGCTCCGGGCACAATGCTTCCTTAGAGTAAATGGGAGCGCGAACGGTCCTCTCGCTCTGTTTTCAAACTGGGCCCACGCAGAACAAGTGTGGGCACTGCGCATGCGCAGAAGCCATATTCGCGCTAGATGTCCGCGAATGCAACGTGCTGACACCACCAGAATGGCACGACTTTAAAGCCGTCTGTTGGTTTCGGCCACACTCACTTGGGAACGACGACGACCATGAGGATGATTCGGATGACGGACAGCTGAAAGTCCACACAAACGTACCACATGTGGGGCAGGCACTGGGAACAAGAGCAGTCGAGTCAGTGCACCAGGCAACCTTAACAAACGCATCTCCATCGTGAGATCAGACTCGGCTTCAATGCGGAGATCAGGTCGTCCGCTTCTTGTACTGGAGTGAATTTTCTTTGATTGAAAGGACCTCAATGCCAAATGCCTCGAGGTCTACTCACTAAACTTCTCAATCAGCCAATAAGACCTCGGTGTTCTGACATCATCACAACCCTAGTGCAAGAAGCAGACGAACTAGCGCACCGCATTAAATCCAGACATTGCGGACGTCGCGAGCTAATGGGACCTATCAAGCAGCGTCCAAAGCGCAAGTCACTGGGTCTTTTTTGTTTGTGATTAGTTCAGCGACAATAGACAACTAACGATAACATGACCAACAACTTGATGGTGCGCTTTTGGCCCTGTCTGATGGGTCCCACCAGATCGTAGCTTCGGCTGTGTCTAGACTTGAAATACAAGGACGTATAACTATGGTGTCTGGAACGCGTTTCCGACTTGTGTGCTTACCTAGTTAAAAAAAAGTGCTCCCCCGATTACCCCCTGATGGCATCACAGAAGTGTCATGCTGTCGTTAGTCACGATCCTGACGGCGTCCCAACAGCTGGGGTGTATATGGCAGACGCCTGTTCACCTGCAGGTTGCTCTCCAGTGTAGGAGTCCGCGGAAGCTTCGGCAGCTAAAAGTTGGGACGCCGTGACGACAGCGAGACGAATGGCGGGGAACCCGGAGGAATGTCACTATTATCAGGCGCCTTTCGCGGTCGTATTCATGACAACAAGGCCTGGTGCGCCGCTGACGAGAGTACGTACATGAAACGACGATACGCGATTATGGCTGTAGCGCTGTTAGATGCAGAAGACAACAAACTGCTTTGTGCTAAAGAAGCGACAAAAGAAAGACAGAAAACATCTTCAATGACCCTTAGTTCAGGGTTTCAGGGGGGCATCCAGGAGGAGCCCAGTGAAAGGGAGGTGAGAAGGGGATCACACAGGGGGGGGGGGGGGGGGGAGGGCTGGCAGTATCATTTAATGCCTTAAAGTCCTCTTCGATCGTAGCGATTTTATAAAGAAGGGCGTCAACGATGGTGGGAGCCTGTTGATTATCCGTTGGAGACAGCCACTTTTAACACGTGGTGGTTCGGAGCCTGGGAGGGAGTTCAAAAAGTGCAGAGCGAATGGATGACTGCGCATGGAGTAGTTCGGACAGAAGGGACATTTGACTGTCCCTTGAGTGCCTCGGAAGAGACGAGTATAGTGTGCGTAGTGTAGTGTGTATGTCTGAGCTCGACGGTGGAGGGTATCTTGTTGTCGGAAGACGGGGAGTGGTGGTGTTACGAGGGTGAGTCTGATTTTCCGGAGTGGTCGGAGTATATATTTTGGCGTGTTGTTGATGGTTTGAGGTACGTTGTAGTTGGGTTTCATAGGATTTCGGCCAGTCGAACACAGGTCCCGAAATGGACGTGACCCGGGAAAGCAAATGTGCTTGTTCGTTGCCTGGGATCCGAGCGGGGCCAGGAATCCAGTGGATGTAGAAGTGAAGGGTGGAAGTGGTGTCGAGAGCGGCGCGGAGCTCGCGTGAAATGTGGTTGCGGAGCTGATTGCATTGAGACGCGCGGAAAGCCTTTTGGGAGTCACT